TTATTCAAGACCATCCTGAGGTTAGCAACTGACGTATTGGGGAATTTAACTTCAGCGTACTGCAGCAGCTCGGCAGCCGTCGGGCGCTCGTGGGGACTTTCAGCTAGACACTTCTTCATCATTTTTCCAAACCTGCCGGAAAAACGGACGTTCTTCTCTTTGATCAAGTTTTGTACAGCCTTCACTGCCTTCTGCACTGTGGTTTTCTTTTTGGGGTTGAAAGTATTAGGAAGCATCTTGTTTTTGACGATTTTTCTGACCAGTCGCTGAAATTCTTCACGGGACGCTATGGGTATGCGCCCATACGCCATCTCCAACCCGAGCACTCCGAGAGAGAAAACATCGGATTTCTCAGAGTATTGATAACCACCTAGGCCACGAAAAATCTCGGGAGCATGGTAAACGCTAGCGGGTAAAATCTCTGACCCACTGGCTTCGTCAGCTGAAGTAATTACGGTAGCCAAGTACCCAAGTTTAACTCGGACCGGTTCATCAGATATGAAAACGCAAGCCGCTGAGAGTTCATTGTGCAACGGAATAGGGACCTTTGGACCAGGAGGAGACTCACCTTCGACGGGCTCTGGCGGAGGGGACGGATTCTCATACATCGCGGTCCGGCGCTGATGAAGGTGCACCAAACCTTTAGCGACCTCCTTCATAATGGCGACGACGTCGGTTTCCTGCAAGCCGTCGGGGAAAAAGGTAAGCTCCGATCTTAAAGAACGGAGAGCCAGAGGGTCAAGAACCCCATAGTAAACGGCGTCGTTGTCGGAAACAACTCTAAACTTCCGATCGAGACTTAAGATGTTCGGATGTTCTTGAGCTTCCAAATTATCCACGCAATCCCTCTTCAAAGAGTAGTATCTACCACGCCGTTTCTCCCCTACAGCTATCAACACGTCTTTCGTGTTTTCATTGGCCGTGACCTGTGCCTGGTACACGTCACATATGGTGCGGCGTCCTACTGCCTGGGCGGAGACGGTATAGTCGCCGGAGCTATGACAGATAGTAGTATTCATCTTTCTCGATTTTCTGGATTTCGGAGTGGAGAATGGTATTGGGATGTGTGAGAAATGAAAAGCTCGTGTTTCTTTAATAGGAGGTTTATAGATGTTTAAAATACTCCATTAAACCTGTGTTAAAAATGCAAACCTCTTAATTTTGAATAGGAATAAAAAATATATGGATAGTGTGAAACTCACTCTTCCATTTCAAATGAAATTTGAGCTCCACATGCTTCAAGGGGCGTGACTAGTGAGAGGGAGGGGGCCCACGTCACACTTTGTTCAACTATTTCACTTTATTTCTCCTACACATGCAAATGACTACTATTTTATTTATATCCCTTCAAATTTTATTCAATTTCATTCTGTAATATCATTCATTATTTTTAAAATTAATTGAAAAATT